TTCTTGAGTTGGCTCACATGAGAGTCAAAGCTGTCAAACAGCTGAAAGTTAATTATTCACTGCAAAAAGCTTTGCCAGGGCCTCACAGGAGTAGGAAAAACATACAAGGTGTTTGTCAGTGTCACCTCAGAGTATTGCACAGAGAAAATGCAAAATATTTCTCTTAGGTTGAATCAATTCATGTTCTCTGTAGTCTTAGGTGGGGTATCGAAGTTGGTGGTAGAGGGGAAGTGTGCAGTGAGAGCAAGTTTCATAACTCAATTTTTTGCTTAAGTTCTGAAGGCACATGATTTTTTTTTTTATTAGGCACTAGTATATTAGACCTTTAAATGGGCTGCACCAGTGAGTAGTGCACAGTTGTAAAGCTGGCATTGTGGTGAGCAGTCTGAGCCCGTCCAGTTTTCTTGGTTATGAAACTCCAGCGGTGAGTAAGAAATGTGGTATTACAACAAAGACTCCTTCAATTCAAATGCTGAAAAATGTTTCCTTAAAATTAAGCATGTTTTCTGGCAGTTAATTAGCTGGGGAACTTAAATATAGTCTTAACTTGAGAGGGTTTTGCTAACACAGAGATATTTACATTTTTTTTCCTTCACTTTCCAGGTTGTGCTTGTTTTATTAAATACACAATATAAAAGCTGCAGTATGATTAACACAGGGGCAAAGTTCTTCCTTTTTTTTTTTTTTCTGACAACTGGAAGAAAAGGTAAAGATCTGAAAATGCAAGAGCAAAGTTTGGCTTGAAACTGGTTGGAGCTTTAAGGAGGAGCAGCATGCACAAAACGGCCCGTTTCCTCAACGTGTAGGAGCCTGTAGCAGAGCATCTGGGAGGCAGGATTTTACCCTGGAAAACACACTGCTAGAGCAACACCCTGCTCCCCTCAGGGGAAGATCTGCTTACCAAAACTCTCTGGGAAGGGATGGTCACTGTGAAAGCAGCAAGGGATGAAGCTTAGGTAGTGCCCTTGTTCTGATGTTCTCATGCAGTGAGTAGCTAAGCTGCAAGGCTGGAGATGCAGGGCACTAATTATGGTTGATTTATGGTGGAACATTCAACTTTCATATCAGGTGAGAAAATCTGCCAGTTGTGTTTACACATACATCTAGCAGCAGTGCTCTTGCAGGTCTCGTGGGGCCTTCTCCTGCTCCCCAGTAGCACAGGCTTCAAGTCAAGACCACGAGCAAAGTCAGTGTCACCACTGCAGTCTCTTGTGGGCAGGACTTGGCTCTAAGTCTGCATACTGTGGCTGTAGTCTCTGGGCTTTTCAGCTTTCAGTCTTAGTCTGTTGTATTTATTCCACCAGGTGTGTTAGTGTAGTCCTTTCAAAGTTTTTCTTTCTATATTACAGATGGGCTTTAACAAATGTGAGCTTTGAGGGCTGGGTAGAAAGCTTTCAGTCATGTAGCCTCTAATTACTGTAAAACCTGGTGAGTTCCTTAATCTCAGAATCTTCTTGACATTTTGAATGCCAGACCACCCAGAAGCTGTGCTATAACTACCTGAAACTGGTTCCAACAGAGAAATGAGAAAGGAATTATCATTACTGGATATTAATAATCAATATCTATGGAAAAAAAAGCTCCTTTTTCATAAAAAAAGTCAATTTCACTGTAATGTCCAGAGAATCCTGCTTGTAGTGTTTCTACAAGTTGTAATTGTACCTGTAATATGCCTGGGAAGCTGGTAGGGCTCCATTCCTTCACTTACATGGGAGAAGAAGGGGGGGGGGGGGAAAAATAATCAGGCAAGTCTGAAAATCCCACCTTCAGTGGGAATGGGCTTGCAGCTTTGTTCATGCTGAGCACACTGTGATAGTTCTTCTGAGCTGCTTCTGTAGGGATAGGGCTTATGATGGCTGCTGCATGCAAGATGCAGAGACTGTGGTGGCATCAATGCTGTGCTGTAGCATAGGTCTGCAATGCAAGTGTTACCTTCAGGTATGCCATGGAACCCCACAACACTTGGTGATGGCACACAAGGGCCTGCTTGTTGGGCACTTAGTCATATGCAGTGGCTCAAAGAGCTAAAGTTCTGGTTGTCCTGTACATGGTGTACGCTCATCCTGAGTCACATAAGCAATGCCTGGGCATACCTTGTTTTGAAGCAGGGAATTTGGTTGGCTCTGAGATCTAATCCTTGCTCTTGGTTCTGTGCACCTCTTGCAGGTTGTATTTCTCTACTCAATTGCCAAACCTGTAACTTCATGTTTACAGGGAGCAGAAGTGTAATGGCAGAACAAGTGAAGTCTTTGCAGGGCAGAATTTAATATAGGAATTTATGTTGGTATAAATAGATGCAACTCCACTCTGCATGTAAGTAAATCTGATACAGGAAGGTAAAACTTTAATCCAAGTCATGCACTCTCCTTCTGTGCCAAACGTGCTCCCTCCCTCACCCCAACAAACCATTTAAGTTCTTGTTGTTCCATTTATGCCAACCCATATCTGCAAAACAACACCCTTCAGATTTTGACCAACATGTTGTCTTATGATTTGGGAAGTACCTTCTACAAAACTCCAGTTCTACACAGACAGATTATATTTGTCTAAAGACTTGAATAACTTTCACTCTACAATTTCAAAGGAGAAGGGTTGGGAAATGTTTAAACAGGTCTTGCATCTCTTTAGCAATGAACCCCTTATTAGCTAAACAGGCAGCAGCTTAATTTCACCTTCTAATGTCCCTTCGAAGCTGTTACAGAAAGCTTTACCTGAACCACAAAAGCTGATACCTAGGTGAGGAACTTGGGTTTCTGTGAGGTTTTTGCCATGCGCAACTAGTTACCTTTCCTCTTGTCTTGTTGGAGTCTGGGTGGGGAAAAAGCTGAGAGTTCAGGGCAGCCTCTCTGCAGATGTCCCTTCAAATAGCTCTTTTCCATTCCACGTGCACTGTCAGGAGCCTCTTGGTGGTTTCCAGGCCACAGAAACATGTTTCAGTGTCTGTCGTAGTGGGACACGTAGCAGCTCAGGAAGCACTGGTTGGGGGTGATCCTAGCTGGTTTTATTCTAGAAGCACAGCAGCAGTCCTAAACACAGATTCTGAGCTTCTATCTTAGCTTCAGGCTAAGGAGGCCTGGTTTTCTTCCAGGTAAAGGTGATGCCCCCATGACAGGCTAGATGGTGTGTGATGGTGCCAGAGCCTTGTTTAGTCCCTGCCCAAAAGGAGCTTCTGAAGTGACTAAACTCCTGTGCTGCTGATGGCCAGAAATTAGGTGCAGTTTCTGGATTCCATTCCCCTCTGGCTGGCACGAGGCATTTGGTTAACTTCATGTGATGTCAGGTTAGCTCACCTGTAATTGCCTTTAGAAGTCAGTTGTTGGTCCTAAGAGTTTGCTTTGTGAAATATTGAGGCTGATGGAGGTCAGTGGGGGTTTGCTGCTTTGTGAAATATGGAGCTGGATGCTGATGGAGGTCAGTGGAGGTCCGCTGCGAGGGGGAGGAAGCTGTGCAGGTGCTGATGGACACGATGACCACTCTCTCACTTCTGGCCCTGTTGCTCCAGTGTCAAAGCCACCAGCTGAGCCACTTGCATGTGTTTATCTCAAGCAGAGCTCAAATTGCAAGAGAAATTTCTGGGGAGAGAGCATCAAAAAGACTTAAGACTGTTAACCTAATGACACCCTGATGAAATGATTAGCCCGAAGCTTAAACAGAAGACTTTTTTCTTTAAGGGTAAAACTTGCTCCTGACGATGGTTCAGTAGCTGAAGTGGTTTTGCAGGCTGATGGTGACACTTCACGAACAGGAATCCCTGTGCTGCGTTGTGCATTGCGCACAGCCACCAGCTATATTTAACCAGTGAGAGATGCAGGGGCGAAGGGGAATAAGGCACAACAAGCTTTCTGCTTTTTTTTGGCAGTCTTTTTATTTTCTTGTCACAGCCTGTTCTTCCACGCTTATGGAAGTAAATCTCAGCTTCTGACCTGACCCACGCTTAATTCTTTACTCGCTCCTAACACCTGACTCCAGCTCATTTTGTGAATGACATAGAAGCCCTAGTTCATCAAGAAGGACAGTAGTTAGTCTGGCTGATTTGGTTTTGTAACTTTTTTTTTTCCTCTTCTGTGTGAGGTATTTCTCATTACAAGGAGCTTTCTGAATAAAAGATGAATTTAGTTGTGCTGAGGAGAGTTGCTAGACATCATGCTTAGCCATGTTGGATCAAAGGCATTACATGAACAAGCTGGAAAACTAATAAGTGCTTTCTCAAATGAGAGCCTTTGTGGTTTAACACTAATTTTTTTTTTTTTTTGGATAAGGTTTCTCTTAGTGGAGGAGAAAAAATTGATCTCCCCATTAAAGTGTGTTTGGCTGGGAGGTTAGCTAGAAATAGCACTTCTGTGACAGTCTCTCTTCCTTCACCATGAAATACCTGTTAAGAATGTTGTGCAGCTGGTGGTTTAATGCAGTGAGACTCCTGGTCACTAGTCTTCAAAACTGCTATCCTTATGTTGAGTTTAGAGAGGCCAGTGAAAATGTACTTGTCTCCCTTTCTCATTCTCTTAAAAGCCTCTGTTACATTGGGACTGTGTCTGTAGAAGTACTCAACAGTACTGTCAAATTTAGAAAAGAGGTGTTAAGAAGTAGCACTGGAGGAGGGAAGGAGTCAGATCCATTACAGGAAGGGTGTCTAAGCCACCGGCTGCATAGCTGGCATCCCTGAGCTCCTGCAGATACCACAATCCCTAAGGACCCCACATGGTATCACATTTATTTTTTAACTTCAGGTAGTTCAGAGGCATGTTAAAATGTAAATCACCAAATTTTTGGAGTCTAAAGTAATGACGGTGTGTGCCCTATATGGGAGTGAGGAGTGCTATGGAGAGCAAAGAACTCTAAATATACTTGACTTATGCAGCTCAGAGGTAATTGGACATACATTTCAGCTGAACAAGCACGCGGAGATGACACTTACTCCATCAGCTCACGCTGAATCTTCAAATGCTAGTTAGAAACTTTCCAGTCTGTTCTTTAGCACTTGAGCTGGAACATCTAAGACGATGACTTTTGTACATGTGGGAACTGAGCATGGATTCTCCTTCTCCTTTGCAGGTGCTGAAAGCATTGTGGCAATTATGATTGGCAACCTGAAAGGCATGGAGATCTTGCACCGGATTGAGAGTGGCATGAAAGTGACCATGGTTATCGAAGTGGGGAAAAAGCATGGCCCTTCCATGAATCAGTACTCCATCTTCTTCATCTCGGTGTCCTTTTTCATTGTCACAGCAGCAACCATGGGCTACTTCATTTTTTATTCTGCTCGGAGACTCAGGATTGCAAGGGCCCAGTCCAAGAATCAGGTGAGTTTATGCCTTTACTGTTTTTATACCCCTGAGCCTCCATGCTGTGGATCTTGAGGGCAAAATACTGGTTGAGCACCCAAATTACTGAATTTCTTCATTCCACAGGAAGGAGAGAGTGTGATCCTTAAAATGCTATAAGCTATATCTTTACATAGCTTAAAATTTTTCAAAGAAACAGCAAAAAAAAAAGTAAACTATGTGGAGAAAGCAACTGTGTTTAGCTGACTTTGTCTCCTACAAATGTTACTCCCTGAATGGCAGTGCTGATGTTTTGGAGGCGGTGAGAGAGCTAAGCTGCTTTTAGCTGACCCTCCCACTTCCCACGTAGCCCTGTGTGTTAGCTCTAATGTGAGACACGACTGCAAACCCGTCTGCAGAATGGTGCTTGACTTTGGCCGCCTTTCAGTAGACCACAGCTTGGAAGCTAAGCTGCTGCTTGTGGAAAGCTGCTTTCTGACTGAAAGCTTTCTGAGAGTTGCAGTGAGGCCTCAATTAGGAGTTGATAAAAATCTGCACTGTTAAATTGTTTTCCTTTTTAAACCCCAAGCAGGGAGTTGCTAACGAGTTAAGTTTCCAAGTAGCTGGCTTCAGTGGGGTAATCTGATCAGCTGATAGGACTAATGCTTACAGCTTTGTCTTCAGTCTGATCAGACCCGCCTTATACCTGCTTCTTCAGGGCTTAAGCAAAAGCCTTAGAAGTGAGACTAAAGTCCCGGCATGACATCTGTCAAAGGTGATGGGCAGCAGCAGGAACAGGCTCCGAGTGGCTCAGATGTACTTACTTCAGCCTTGCCCTTACAGCTGTGTTGTAAAGGAGACTGTTGGTACTTGCAGTGCTTCTTGATGGAGACACCTCAGCTCTGAAAGAGTTGTTAGAGTCCTCTCCCAGGGACAGCAACAGCACAAGCACCTCACTCCAGCTGGGCTGATGTGAATTATCACTGGGTCAGTGGTTAAATAGTTAAAGAGGTGATGGACTTCTGTGTTGCAAAGACCTTCAGACCTGCCTTACGAAGCTTCTCTACTGTCCTGGTGATTTCAGGCCCCTTGAGCAAGATCCTTCCGAAATAAGCTGCTGAAGGTAGAAGCTGGACACAGGTGTTGAAGTTCAGGCCAGTCTCAGGCTTCTGTAACATTTTAGGACTGGCTTCTTTAAAATGTTAAGATGCAGAACCGTTGCTGCTCTCGGCAGTCAGAGAGACTAGCCAGGGTGAATGACAGCAGTACCAAGTACAATTCCTGGACTAGGAAAGCTGGGCTCAACTACTGGCCAGAGTGGAATGCTGGGTTCTTCCTAATAATAACAGAACTTAACTCAGCTGAGTGTTTGTTCTGAAATTCTGTTGTCTAAATGTAATCTTGTGGATGATGGTTCCCTGGCTATATCCTTACTGAGAGTAAAGATCTGAACTGTATTTGTGCGTTGTCTATGCTGTGTCTGCCTCAAAGCACTTGAAGGAGGTCTAGAACACAAGTTGGTTTAGTCCATGTTGGACCATAACAGTTGGACTTGAACTTTGAATCATTCTGGTTGGAAGAGACCTTCATGATTCTGGTGTTATGCCTCACCTGGAAGTGATGTGAGGGTACAATAAGGGAATAAGGATATAGTAAGTGCATAGTTAGAAGAGCAGTGTTGGAATTTGTCAGCTGCCTGTGAGACTGCTGCCTGCATTGCCACTTCTGGTTGTCACATGGAGTTCTCTAGTACCTTTCATGAAGGATGTTGTGGAGCTCTGTAATTTGCCGCTGTCCTTGTGCTGACATCTGTGCACAGAGATATACACAATCTCCTGCTGATGAATTCCCTTTTTCATTCCCTGCCATCTATCCTTGTATGAGAACTCTGTTCAATGCTAAACAAACCTGGGCAGGAAAATCTGGGCACCCTAGAAGCTGGTCTGCAAATGCACTGTTTATCAATGAAAATTTTTCTTCCTTTGAAGATATTTAACAGAGCAGTTGTAGAAGTTCAGCTCTATTCTGAGCTATCAGGCTTTCAACAAGCTAGAAACGTTATCAATGACTCCAGGGGTAGCTGGTACTGGGAAAATCCAGTTTGCTTGGCTAGCACCTTCACACACTATTTCTATCTTGGGCTCTGTGTGCACAAGGAATTTACTGTAGATTGAAAAATAACATTGATAAATGACATGCCAGTTCCACATGATTTCAGCTAAACTGAAATTAGGGAGCCTTAAAAGGTGCTTTATAAAAAATACAAGAATAGAAGAAAGCTACTCTGCTAGTAGGGGAAAAAATGTTCTATTTTGTAAAAGCGACACTCAAGACAATCCAGAATTGTTTTCAATTGTTTTTATGCCGTGGCATTTAAAAACTGACTTCACAATGATAAATGAGCAACAAAGAACACACAAGTTCTTGTTAGCAAAGGTGAGCTACTAAAAGGTGATGCTACGGTGTTCCCTCTTAGCCAGCTGATTGGATTTTCAGTGCATGTCCAAAGTTTGAGAGTTTCCTACTGTGACTCCCTGAGATATTGAATATTAGTCAAACTCCTTAACAGCTTACATGCCACAGGGGGAGCTTTCCTGTCATCTTTCAGCTCTTTGGAAGCTCAGGTTGCCTGGACTTCAGCCTGTTACTTGGGTGAGGTAGAGGAGTGTGTTTTGTCTCCTTTATTGCACAGATGTCAAAGGGCTGTACCTTCTTTTGGGAGGTGTCTTTAGGAAACAGTCGTGTGTGTCAAGAAGTACTACAAATTTTCCTTCTTTCAGAAGCAAGCTGCTGTTCTGAATGCATATACCTTTACTCAGTGTTACGACTCTTCAAAGTATCTGTTTGGTGTTTTTTTTTTTTTGACCTTCCCTGTTTGATTATATTGCTGTTTTGCGAGGAGTCTTTAAAGTGTCAGTCTACCACTTGAACCAAGCGCACTTTTGAATTGCTCTACAGAATACTATGATGAGTCAAATGTCATATGGGATAATGATGCTCTGCAGCTTTATATTCAGGTTCCTGAATATATGACTTGTTTTTGTGGACTGAGCCCTGGCCTCAGGAGAGCTCTTGCCCTGGACTGAAAAGGGTGCTTAAGTCCCACTTGTTTACTACTGGGTAGAACAGAAAGAGGGGAGACTATTTTCTAGAAGCTTTGTCTCTTCTGCAAAGGCTTCTTGAAAACAAGAGCCTGTCTAGATAGGTGTTCCTTCATGCATGGGACTAGTAGTAACCCCTGCTTGAATTGGATGGCTTCCAGGTATTGCCATGTTTGCAATATGGGGGTTTTTTTATTTTCTTTTGGCTTGAGAAAAATCTTTAGATTTCAGTGTTCTCTGAAGGAATCTCTCGCTTTACAGACCATCAGGCTGTTGAGTGCTTTTAAACTCTGTTGCTTGCCAATAGTTCCAGTACTTCTTGGTATGACTGCTTCTTCTGGTGAAGGCACACTTTCTGGATGACTTGATCACATATAACCCAGTTTTTAAACATGTTCTCCTCTGCAGATGTTTCTAGAAGGCCGCATCTGGCTCCCACTCCGCTTGAGCAGGAATTGCATACAAGTCAGTAATGTAGAACTGTGCAATGGGTTTCTTTAAAAAGTTGAGCAACTATTGAGAAGAGTCAGTCACATTGTCTTGCAGTCCAAGTGAAAAAATAAATTTAGTAGCATATGTGTCCCCATCAAGTTAGAGTAGCTTTTTCCTCATGAGAGAGCTAGCTAAACTGTTTACAACCTACTGCTTATTATCTGAATGCATATTTTCTTCTAAGCTTGAAATTCAAGTCCCCACCTCTGCGGTCTCTTACTGCATCATGAGGTCTGTGAGCAAGAAGGTGGAAAAACAAGACAAGCATGGTAGGTGGCTTGCTGCCTTTCTAGTTGGAGTACTGGCAAATTCAGTTCCTCACTATATTAACCTTTCTTAATGATGCAAAATGGCCAGTGATGTTATCTGTGGCCTGGTTTCTAATTTAAGCTCAAGTCTTCACTTCCACGATTTCATAAAGATTAGATATTGCAGCTGAGAAATGACCTAATTAATGGCTTTGGAGGAGGTGTGTTGCTCAACTTTCCACAGTTCAAAACTCTTTTCATGGCAGTAGCTACCTGTGGGGAAGAACTTCCTTAGCTTACAGGACAAAAGCAGGAGTTCCTGACATCCTTTGAGCTTGCTGGTTTGCATTGCCATGGCCATGCTCACAGGGTGCCAGGGAGGTACCCTTATGCAGAAAGGGTTGCAGATAAAAATCAACAGTGTTGGACTAGGGAGGATTGAGAACTAAGCAAGAGCAAACCTAATTTTCCCAGGTAGGTGGTTCCTATTTCAACATACCTCTGGTTAGGAGCTGGGACCTGACCTGTCTGTAATATCTCACTAGCTTTTTTCCTGCTTCAACTTTACCTATTTTCTCGAGAGTTGCTGGGTTGCAGCTTTTAGACTTTTAACATCATTAACATTTAATGTTTGCTTGAAAAACTTGGCTTCACAAAATGCTTTGACATTCCAAGCTTGAGTATCCCAGATCCCTGGTAGGCTATTCAATAAAAAGCTTCCTCTTGCAACCTTTCTTCGTTCCCCCGGAGGGGTGTTCTGCTGTACTTATCAAATTGACATTAAAGGTGACTTTGCCATTGGTGCATTTCATGAAGAGCAATTAAACTTGTGCCCAGGCAAAAGTTAAAATATTTTTTTCAGTAAATTATTAATGATATAGCCAGTTAGGTCCTGCCTAATATGCTTGGCCCGGTGTTAGATGCATAGATTAGATACTGTACGAGGGAGTACATTCCTAGACAGTTAAGTTTTCAATTAAGAAAAAATAGCAGTGACAAACAGTTCTGGCTGCATCTGAGAAGTATAAATATTGCTGCATTAAGATGTTACCACTTCTGCTGCTGAAACTTCTGGGATGTTTACTGAGATGACCATGTGGCTGCTTCTCTGTGGCTTCAGTCTGAAATATTGGTAAGGGGAACATCATTGTAAGTTCATCTTAAGTGATGTACAGACACATATTGATGTCTTCAGCAGAAGAACTTTTAGAAGCTTCAAAGTAAACTTGACTGGTTGTTGTTCCTAAAAAAATACACCTGAAAACTTGTTTGCCTTCTTTATCTTTGGATTGTATGTACCTCTTCCATGATAGTTGTTAATAGTTATCAACTGTTAAACCCCTAAAAGCCTGCACATTGCTGCTGTGTCTTAGGACCCCCAAATAACACTGATACACAAATAGGTCATTTTGCACCAAAATTCTTTGAGAGGGTCCCAGCAGACCATATAAATCAACTTGTTTGCTATTAACTGCTTCAGCACAGGGACTCTTATGCAGACCTGAATTATCACTTCTTGCTGTGTTTTGGGTGTTAGCAGCAGCCCTCAACCCACTTGTTCCTTCTGTACTTGAGCCACCAGCACTGCACCTTCATCCCTGGGGAAGGTTCTTGTAATTTGTCTAAAATGGCTAAGGGGAAGTAATGCTGAAGAGCCAACTAACAGTGTGGGGATCCTGCACTGAGCAGCCAAATGGGGAAGAGGATTTTTGGTTAGCTGCAAAACTTGAGCCTAGCCTGCCCCTAAGATAAGTGCAGTGGGGTGGCACAGCCGGAGCTGCTGTGTCCTGAGGCACTGAGTGCCCGGGGGAGGGAGAGCACAGTCACATTCTTTGTGTTGGTGAAACAGCACCAACTTGTAACCTTTAAACCGAGACGTTGGCTCCTGTCCTAATGAAATGCTGCAGTGACAGCTGGACAGCAACAGTTGCCAGGCAAGCTGGGCTTCTGCTGTCTGCTCATCTCTGCCCTGCTGTCCTGACAGCAGCAAGTGAATTACTGCATGAAGGGGAACGCTCCCTCCTCTGCTTCCAAGCAGAGCTGCCTTGTAATCTACCTGACACGAGTCATTTCACTTGTTTCACACCTTGTGTTGCAGGGAGAAATAGCTCTGAGCCCCCCTTCTTTTTTTTTTTTTTTTTTTTCCCCTCCTTTGCTCATGTTACTTTGAACCAATACTGAGATAAAGCTGCATTATTCTACTTGCCAGGAGTGGCTGGTGCTAGGAGGCTCCTGAGCTCTTTGTGTGCTGTGTGGAACAGTGGTGGCAGAGGACTAGCTCAGGGTGTGCTGGGGTAGCTGAGCTGATTGGTAACGAATCTCACCTTTCATTGAGATGTGGTTTAGTGCCAGGAAGTTGCCATAAAGCGAGTAGCTAAAATTATTGATTGTCAAACTCGATGTTCAATCCTCTGTACCAAGTCAATTTGAAGGCTTCTGTTTGTTTTGGGTAGGTCTAATCTGATCAAGGGATTATTTTACATCTTCTCAAAGAAGAAGCCCTTGAAATTTCTGTGCTTTGTGAAAAAGTAAAACCAAAGCATATGCAAATGGGCTTGTTGGTGTATCCTCCAGAGTTGAACCATATTAGTATGTCCTGAAAGTCTGGTTGTCCTTTAATAGCATGATCATGCTTACTTGGCTTGTTTTGATAACATCTGGGTTATAAAACTGGTGCCTGCTTGCAGTAGGCACCTTGGTAAGTATTAGTAACCACCACTTAAGAGAAGAATGACTGTGTTTAACCAGGACTGCTTTCTGTTGCAGAGACAACTGAAGGCCAAGGCTAAGAAGGCCATTGAACAGTTACAGCTGCGCACCCTGAAGCAAGGGGACAAGGTATGGCTGATCCTGTAACCTCCCAAGCACTGCCACTTGCCCTTTGCACAGACACCAGAGTGGTCCTTAGTACTGGAGCAGGATGCAGAAGCCTCTCTGAGCCCACAGCTGTCTCTTGAGTAGATATCCCTCTTTCAGACAAGCTCCTTTACCAGGGTGCAAGACTTTCCAATTTGCACATTCTTATAAACCAGATTATTTTTTTAGATCCTACCTTGTAGTCTTGCTGAGGTGAGAGGTCCTAATTTGCTGGCATGGATGCTTAAAGGTAAACTAGTACATCTAATCAGCTTCCCTGGCTATTCTTTTTGAAACTAAAACTTGGAGGCAGCAGTTTCTAAACTTGTAGAGCAGTGCCTCGAGTAATCCAGTGATGGTTTGCAGCTGGATTTCTAAACCATGGGATTAAACTTTGTGCTTCTGTTAAAGTGTCATCTTGACTATGAGTAATCCACACAACGTGTTTTTAGAAGATTATATATGAGAGCTGTTTTAGATTGCTTGAGCTAGACCCCTTTGTCTGCAGTAAATTTGACTGCAGTTCATAGGAAGCTTTCAAAGCCTCTTAATGCTGTGATTTCATTTCACTGCCTTAGGAAACTGGTCCTGATGGAGATACCTGTGTTGTGTGCATTGAGCTGTACAAGCCCAACGAAGTAGTGCGTATTCTGACCTGCAAGTAAGTCTTCTTCCAAACTGCCCCTTAATCCAAAATCTGCAAGCATGCCCCTTACTGGTTGCTCCTTCAGCTATGTTAACAAAGCTGATCAAACTTTAATCGAGTTGTTGCACAGCAAGGATTCCTCAATCTGTCAAGCAGTGTTTTGAACAACAGGAACTCTGTAAATACACACTTGTAGTGTGCCCTGATGGCCTGTGTTCATAACTTCCCCTGGGAGTAGATTTACAAGCATAATTCAGCAGATCACAGTGCCTCTCCCAGGGATGCCAGAGCTTTTTAAAGGTGTGGTGTTTTTTTTTCCTTTGCTGTTGTGTAAGAATGTAACCTCTAAATTGTAGACAACTGGCAAAACTATGCCTGTTTCTTGTCGCTTAGTTTAGTGGTTGCTAAGAGGTTTGTGCTCCCACTAAACTTGTTAACCATGCTGACTTTTGTAATTTAGAAGAAAGCATTTCTAATTTTGTATGCATCACCTGAAATAGAGACCACAGTAGAGCTAGAGCAGTTTATTTTTCTAGAATTCTTAACTGCTGTATCTCATTGCAGTACTTCTGTGGGAGTCTGGTAAGCACTAAGACTTTAATTTGATTTCTTCTAAGATGAGCAATGAAGCCTTTCCAGGGCTCAGGGAAACTTTCCTGTGGGACTTCCCCCTGTGCCTACTGAACGGGACTTCTCTGGCAAAGTTTCTAAAATCTGTGGGCTGTGATGTGAACTACACAAATTTTGTATGGAAAGAGGTCTTGTAACCCCTTGGGAGGGTTACAGAAAAGCACTTGGAAAAATTTTGACATAGGAAAAATCAAGTTCTGAAGAATGGAAAAATCTGTAACTGCTGTTGTATGTTGAGCAATGTTACTTGTCAAACACAATCAGACCTGAGCTGGGGTTACAGTTGTAATGAGGTCACAGTTCTGTAAAAGCCTTCTCTGCTCCCACGCAGCAGGACCTCTAAGCTGTTCTGATACCACAAAGTTGGCCTGTTAAGGTGTTACCAACAGACTTGCTTGATCTAATGCTTAATAGTTTAGGAAAAAAACCCAAACTGAACAAGCTTTCAGGCATGTGTGTTAATAATTATTCAGTTGTCTAGTCAGGTTTAAGCTTGTGAGTAGTCCTGTTTAGTCATGAAGTCCCGTGAGTACAGAAGCATTTAGACAGGCTCTAGATACTTTTGGCTGATAGGAGACCTGACTTCTCATTATTTCCCTAAAAACCCTGCTAATCTTGATATGAACTTGCAAACAAAGTGTGACTTTTTGGGTTAAGAGGGGAGTAACTTCTTTTGAATATATTTTTTATGTATAAATTTGCTGTCTTGTGCCTTTCTCTGATGTTTCATTCCTCTTTGACCCAGTGTAGCTCTAAGAGGCACTAGCTTAAGATGACTGTTTTTATTTGCTAATCTTCAACAACGGTGATCTCTCCCAGTATCAAACACATTAAATCCTCTCATATGAGAGATACAAACCTGATATTTACTTGAGGAACATACTTGATATTGGTGGTTGACCTCAACACTGAGACCCTACTTGTTTAAAGTGTTTAACTATATCCATGAAGGAAACAATGCTCCTGTGAGTCACGTTGGTGGTATCTATCTGGGGTGTGTGTATTTGCAGAAGTCATTCTTGTCCAGATAGTCAAACTGAAGGCATTCATAGTAGCAGAGGTACACAAGACCAGTATTAAGTCAAAGTACTTAAAATAGTTGTGTCAAGGAAGTTTCAGGCTGTACTGTAGGCATTATGTTGGTGCAGCTGGAAGGAGATGCTGCATAGGAGGGATGAAATGGAGAATCCTGGTGGCATACTGGGGTGTAGGATACTGAGCACAGGATGTGGTGATCTCTGCACTTCTCTCATAATAGAGTGCTGATTAATATTAAGCAGTGACTGTCTGCCTTGCTATTTCTATTCAGGCTGAAGGAACAGGCAGATGACAGGATTTGAAGTCATCCTCATAAATCTGTGGCCTAATTCAGACCCACTGTGGTATTGTCTTCATAGAAGCAACATTTGCATCTATAGTGGCTGAATGGTACTTACTTTGAGTACACAGCCTACCAAATATCCACTTGGAACACACAGTGACTTTACAGACAAAGTACATGTGTGGGAGTGTGGTTTATCTTGGGGATATAACTCCGTAAGATGATTTTCCTGTATGGCTTTAGCAGAGGAGTGCTATTTAGTCATCTGCATCTGCATGACAGGAGCTCAGCTTAAAGTGAAGGCTGAAATGTCAATATTTCTATTAAATTATCACCTGGGAATGTATGGTACATAGATTTATTTTAAAAGAAAAGCTTGACTGATGTAGCAAAGATGATAATTCTAAATTCTAGCAAGTTGTATAGAGCTACTAATAAGCATAAACAAGCTACAGGTTGAGAGATCAACTATCCATAACTTTCAACTGAAACTTGTGGCAAAATAAAGTAACCCACTCTAGAATAAGTTTAGTGTTACTTAACGGGCCTTTATAGCTGCCACAAACATTTTTCTGGTGTGAAGCCTAACCTGTTGGATACCTTCTTTCAACAGCCACCTCTTCCACAAGAGCTGTATTGACCCCTGGCTTCTGGAACACAGGACGTGCCCCATGTGCAAATGTGACATACTCAAGGTTTTGGGTGTTGAGGTAAGCCAGCAGTCCTTCTTAGTGACAGATGCCATTATTGTATTTGGCTGGTGTAGTAACCCCATATTGAGCTATTTTATGCTGCCTCTCAGGCATGGGTGATAAGCACAGGCATTGCCATGTCAGTGGCAAGATGCTACAGGACTAATTGCTGTGTGCCCTTTAGCAAAGCCTGCAGCTGACCTGGTCTCCGTTGGTATCATCCAAAGCCTTGGGCAGAATGTCAGCCAAAATTGATTGTAATGCATGGCTGAAGAATTGCTCTTAACTCTTGCATTTGCTGCTAAGGGTGTTTATCAGAGCTTCAGGCAGACTTTGACAGCTCATACCCCCCTGAAACCAGCCTCCATTCAGTTAATAAGTACCCAGAGTCCTTGAAAAGCAAATGTGTTACCATGTGTGGCTTTCCTGGAGCCACATGGCTTCCTAGGATACATAAAGAATTTTGGATATATTCTGCAACTGCTTGTTGTGGCAGGTGCCAGTGGAAGACCCTATTGCCAATGCCTGACACTGCCTGGGCCAGCTAAAACACACCCCAGAGTGTGCATGGGAGAGGGAGATCTGCACTGAGTGGGAGGAAGAATCTGTCTTCCTGGTACTGAGCAGTAAAGGGGAAGAGCTGTCTGAAGAGTGTAGAAGCTGTATTTGAACTCCCACTCAGGCAGTGACTGGTCTTCACCTGTGATGCTGGAAGATTACAGCAGAGCTTTTTTAATTTTTTTTTTTTTTTTTCTGGGTAAAAGTTCACTAGACTCAAGTCCTTGCAGACATTAGTCTCCTGGAAAGCTGAAGCCTCCTACAAAGCTGTAACTTAACCATTTTCTCTTTTTATTCACAAAGGTGGATGTAGAAGAAGTGGCTGAGTCTGTGCAAGCCACAGTATCCAGTAGGACATCAAATATCTCTGTAGTTAACGAAGAGGATAATCGCAGTGAAACAGCATCATCTGGATATGCTTCTGTACAAGGAGCAGATGAATCTGTTGTGGAGGAACAAGCCCCATCAGAAAGTGCGTCTGTGTCATCTGTCTTGCTAGATTGCCTTACACTTAGTTGCTTATGCAGTGGATGGGGGGGATCTGCCTTAGCATCTCACAGTGCTTGAGTACCTTGGTTTTCAGGGGAATCTTAATCCTCCCTTTTGTTTTAGCACTTGGCTCTGATACTGTTCGTTTTAAAACTAAATGCAACCTAAATGTGAATTGGAAGCTAAGTCTATGAAGAGAGTAGTTGAAAATTGGAGGCTTGCTACTTAAAGGCCAAAGTTCGTGGTTGTTTTTTTTTTTTTTTTTTTGGAAGATGTCTCTCATGGTGTTGTCTGTTTGGAGATTTCATTGGGTTGAATGAGTGTTGCTTTGTCACCAGATCTGTCTGCTATAAGTAGTTAATTACTTACAGACAACTTATGGGGAATCAGTCCTACTCTAGCTTAGATGATGCAAAATAGAGATGACAGATATTTCAACTGAATTTCAGCTTCTGCCAAGGTTGAGTCATCCCTGAATGCTTTCAGAGAATTTAAACTGGAAAAGACTATCAGCTTTTCCAAATGCCTTCAACTTTTTGAACAAGAGCAAACTAATTAAATGTCTTTTTAGTGCTCAACTTTGCCAACACATGGGCAGTGTTGCTGTAGATTTTTAAAACTGAAAGATTCTGGGTAAACAAATGAAAGTAACTATCCCCTGGACTGTGGAATGGCTTTGGGAAGAGGCATAAGAGGGGAAGCTTTCGGAGGTGAAAGGGATGTTCTGGCTGTGTCTGCTTAGATTTCCTATGGGAAGCCTAGCTGATAGGAAACCTGATAGGAAAGATTTGCTGCCAGCCTCCTTTAGGGACAGGTTGCTCCAGCAAGTGACGTGTATGGAAGTGTCCCATTTAGGCACCCCAGCAGAGCAGGGGGCACATCCTACAAGCTAACCATCAGAAGCTAAAATTGCATCCCTGTAAGCAACTGAAAAGATGCTGGGTAAGTTTGTGGTTCAGGCCCTTGTATATTCTTACTTTGGGTGGCAAGGGCACACACTAAGATCAGCCTAATGAATTTTGTAGGGAGGAGGTCTTCCTCCCTGAATCAGCCTGTGACCCACAGCTTATCCTGAACCTAGCCTGTAGAAGTTGCTCCTGATGCCTGTCTTCAGCAGTCTTCAAGTTATACAAAAATGGCCAACCTCCTTATAGTAGGATTTTGTAGCTTCATGCAGACTTCTGCCACTTGAGCACACAACCTAGCTCAGCATGAGTGAGAAGTGAACTCCAGAGCTGAGCAGATACCTATAGGAATTACAGGTACTATCAAGAATGGGCTCACAAGCCAACGAGGGGGAGCAGAAGAGTGCTAATTGGAGCATGCCCTTGGATTTCCCACTGTGCAGGGAAAAGGTGCTGGGGAAAGACCACTGCAGGGGGCTTGTGGAAATAAATCAACTGTGGTTTGCCTGGAGGTAGCAAAACTTGCCTGTGACACTTCTTAACTTGTCTTTTCTTGGTTTTGTTTTGGACAGATGACAACATGCATCTTGTAAACAACGAATCCCAGCCCTCTGCTGTGAATGTCCTTCCACATGTTGACAACCCCAGTTTTGAGGCAGATGAAACACAAGCCCATGAAGTCAGGTCCTAAGAACACGCAGAGCAACGTCGTGCAAGCCTTCCACAAGGAGCTGTATACTGCCATCATGTGTATACCAAACATTGCAAGACTGTAGCAGGAGAATGTTGCCTTGGCACTGCTGAGATCAAATACACTTGTTCAAATCATAATGATATGGTTTGCAATTTTTAAAACTGCATCTCCCGTGTGGAATTTAGTTTTAGCATTCTTCAGATAAAGCTGTCTTAAGTAGAAAGCCATCGGATTTTAACACTAAAACAAAAGTTCCATCTTCAGCAAAGCTTCTCTTCAGTGTTTGAGTCATTTAAATAAGGAGAGGATTCTTTAATGTTGTAGCTGTCTCTACTGGGAATTGTTTTGACTTGTTTTTTTTTGTTTATTGTTTTAATTCAAGTGGATTTTCATTGTAAACAAATAGTTTTTGATCTGGTCTAATACTTACTTACCAGACACAGTTTAAGGAACACTGTACTTAATATTTCACTGCACTAATTTGATAGGAGAAAGTATAAACTAATGCCTGTCAAACTGGATTTTGCCCAGAGTGTTTTTGGTTGTCTAGTAAACAGATCGATTCTCTACCTCTCAACTCCAACCTGCCAACCACACATTCCTAAAGGGAAAAAAAAGAGCTGCAAGCTGACAGGCCAAATCTGACTTGCACAATACTGTAAAGGGAACAACTGTAGGAACTTCTCAAACCTGTTAATATTAGTCTGAAAGATCCTCCATGATTTTTGGAGTTATAACCATCTCTAGCACCAGCAGTATGCCAGAGTCCTGGCTTTGTGAGAGTCTGGGATGACTTCAGGAAGAATGAGCTGAAGATCAAAAGAGATTCTTCCTAAAAGATCTGCTGTGGTGATGAGAAAACAATTCAGCCTCTGAAAAATGCTGGACTGCTGCTGTGCATTGTCTTGCCTGTGTGCTAAAGCTGGAGGGAGAGCTGACATCCTGTGAATGTAATGGATGATTGGAGAAGCTGTCTGCCATCTGTGGGGACTTGAACTGGGGTCAAGGAGGAGCACTGGATGTCTCAATATTATGTGTAGGGCTTTGCCCAGTGAAGGTAACTAAGGACATCTTACAGATGCACTTTATTTTTTTTATCCCTCTATCTATGGCTTGTTCCTAGTGTTAGCAGAGCTTTGTTGTAAAGCCCGCAATAAAGTACTAATGAATCTGGAGGGGAAAATAGCTCTAGTACAATTAAAATTGTTGTAAATATTTCATTATTTGTATTGAACTTGGATATGAAAATGTAAATAAAACTATATTTTGATGACCCTGACTTACATTAAATGTTGATTACCTGCTTTTATAATGGAAACAGATGCTGGATTTGCTCTGTCCCACAACCTCAAAACTTGTCCAGTTTGGGGGGACCAAAAAGTACCAGTGCTTGATCAAACTAATTGGAATAAAGAGTGCTAATTACATGCAGGAGGCTGCTGTTAACATGGATTGAAATTGTGTTGAGAGCCTTAAAGCCTAGTTGCTGTACTCTATGAACCAAGCAGCTTTCCAGTGTGTTCAGTGTATGTTTGAACAGTTCTAGGCAGTTTCAGCCCAAGCCAGTCCAACTTGAACTCATGTTCTCTCTGTCAGATTGTTCAGCATCAATCCCTTACTCAAAACTTTAAAATGCTTTGTCTCACAAATCATAAAAGCAATTAAATGCCTGTTGTTCTGTACTTCTAATAGAAGTTGTAAAAACTCATCATTCCCCTGGCCAGTTTGGTAGGAGTCTTGTCCTTCTTTTTAGCTCATTTCCAAATCCAGTCGAGGAAGCATTGGTTGGTTCTGAGCTCTAAATATGCAGCTGAGTTACTCCAAAGGTTGTATTTTGCTGTGATTCCCCTCTCTGTCCAACGTCTGAAGTGCCAAGCAGAGAAAGGATCAGCCAAGCAGTAAATATGCAACCCCTAACCACTTCCAATTCAAAAAGCTTTTATTAATTTGTGGTATATAAGATGTAGAAAAATTTCATTAAATCATCTGCCACTCTTCTGTGTTTAAGAGCAACAAGATTTGACCTTCCAAAACAAAATAGAGGAGAGTGGGTATTGAGATTAATTCAATACATTCAAAGCTGCTTTGTTGCTTTTTTTTGTCGTTCCAATCTATGCATTTGGGTTGCTTTGTTTATAGGATTTAAGACTTTCTATTTGCTGTCTTTGAAGAGCAGTAAACCTGCCTTTTTTCCACTACTGGTATTTCTAAGGGTAAGGTGGATGCACAGCATTTTCTCAGGGAAGGCACTAGTGGGGTACTGGGGATGCAGCAGCTCAAATCCATGAGCTCACCTGCTGTAGGACCAGGGGATGTGTATGTACTCTGTCAAGATGTGGACTTGTTTGGAGCTCAAGCTACTTGAACTAATTTTCAGGAAAACTTTTAACATTCTTTTATCAACTGTGAGGTATTGCTAAAGGAATAACTGCAGAATTTGTACTGGAACAGTACCTGAGCTACTACTGGGCAGAAGAATTTAACACTTCTCTGGTTTTGCAGCTTAAGCTGTATGTCTGCCATAGCCTTGGTGTGTAGATTCATCTTAGGAATTTTAGTTATGCAGGGGTTTTTGTTTAAAAATGAAAGTGCAAACTTTACACATGCAATCTGTGATACTGAACTGGGGTCTGTTGCTGTTTGGCCTTGGGGAAAAAAAAAATCACTTTATTTCACTGAACTCTGCAGAGGTTTCTACTTTTGAGAACATTGCTGTAGTTCTGCCTACCTTAAAGAAATTTCAAAGCTCTACTCTCACTGTGTATTTTCAAGTTTCCATGGACAGCAGCTGCCTTTAGCTGACCCCTGCTTAGAGCACTGCACAGCAGATTTATTTTTTTAGATTTCTTTGGTGATACCATGGGCTTGAATGGCTCTTATGTATACATATATATGTGCAGTATGGCATGATAGACTTTTTTCCTCTAAGCAAGAGGTAAACAGGAATATGCTTGGGAGTAGAGCTGGTCCTGAACTGGAGTGCAAGCTTGTTGTCATTGTGCCACAGCTTTGGGTTTTGCCATATATAAACTAATGTTTGCCTGTAAGATGCTGGAAATGAAGTTCCCATGAGTGGTAACAGTTGCTAAACTGCGTGCCTCCTGACTCTGTTAATGCTCCCCTTGAGTCACTCAGATACGTCAATGATTCTGCCCCCAAAGAGACAGCAGAACAGACACCAGCATCATTTCCAAGTGTTTATTCACTGCTGTCATTTTTCTCTCCCCCAGGAAAGCTCTGATGGAGACTTGTCACTCAAATGCTTGCATGCTCTAGAAGGAGGACTGGGAAAGACAAGGGTTTTTTTTTTATCCCTGCAGAAGAGGAAGCATTGTCACCTGGTGCTAGATTTCTGGGCTTTCTTGTAAACCAGGCTTCACAGCAGCAGGTTTTTATTTTAAATCCCAAACCAAAATAATGCAATTTTCTCATATTGAGGAAAACGTTCAGATGTCCCTATAGAAATGTAGTTATAGCTCAGATTTTTTTTCTTCAGGGAAAAGCAGGACTTGTGACGAAGGGCTGCAGACAGGTAGAAGCAGTTTGAGTCAAAAGGGCAGCTGGATTCTTCCCATAAAATGGAGAGACTTAGTCCTTCTCAGTCTTCAGATGGAAAGATCTGCACTTGTCAAATGACCTAACGGTTGGACAGAAAAAAATAGACACAATTCCTTTGGTTCTGTGATTTGATGTAATTTCATTCTGTGTTTAACGCATACTAGCTCAGAAAGTAGATTGATGTTTTTCTTGTGCAGATTTGAATAGAGTTCCACTCCCACAGGGGTGTAATGGCTGGAATTCTGGAATAGATGAAAGAAAATCCACTGGCTTGGGCAATTTAATTTTGGCTCTAAGGGAAACTTGAAACCAAATTGCAGTGTTCACCCACTGTGAATTAACAGCTATGTAATTCTCTGCACTAGTTGTTCAACTGTTGGTTATACAGAAAGAAGCCAAAATTTATTTATATAGTTATTTATCTGTTTATATAATCTTGGCTCTGGTTACTTGAGGGAAGTAATTTACCATTTCTAGAAGGTCTTTAATATAGTGAAAGAAAAATTCTGCAGCACTAAATAGATCTCTGTTGCTGCAGAACACATTGATTAGCCTGTAGGATGATTGTGTGCTGATTAAGAAAGAATTTCAGTGACTATAAATAAATTTCTCCTAGCTGATAGAGGGACACTCTTTGCATCTTAATGGTATTTGGTCAGGAATCCAGTGCCTGAGGAAATTGGAAAAAAGACAACATTCAAGACCTTGAACAAGAGGATGACAAAACAGACATTTTTTAAGCAGTATCATTTTACTGTTAAATTTTTACTCAATTAGCAAAGTTTGAATCTTATATAAGAAAGCAATGTATGTCCTAACATGTCCAGAGTGTGTGAGATGCCAAAAGCCAAGCTCTGGGTTGGAAATGCCAAGGGCATCATCTCTCCTTACAATTAGCATCAAAATTAGAAGACCTGCGTTAGATCCTTAATAGTTTATTTCCTAACCAAGGAGTTGGCTAATTGGGGAAAATTAAATGGTAAACACTCTCTGGGAATGCTCTTAGAGAAACAACATTCACACAGGAATCACTTTGTCAGTTCACCTGGTAAATCTCCAGGAACCTGCTAATGTTTGTTACTCTCTGGCATTTCAAGTTGGGGGATTGAAGGAACTGCCTCATGAAGAGCAGCATGCTAGTTTCTCTAGTTGTTTGTCTTGTCTCATTAAGGTTTTATCTGTATTAGTTGCTACATGCTGGCTAATTACTTTTACTAGAAAGGAAAGTTGAATTAAAAGTCAAGGAGTGGAAATCTGTTGCTTCCTACTCTGCTATATAAACAGGTAAAAAGAAGAGTAGTTTGAGTCAAATCTATATTCAGTCCCAAGGGTAAACACTTTCATACTACAGCTTCTCTAGCTGTCATGCAGTGAGTGACTGGAAGAAAAGGGAAAAAAATTCTCATACCAGTGTAATTTACCCAGTTTTGGAGCCTTCC